TGTCCACCTAAAGCAACACTGCAAGCACAACAAGCTGAGATCCCAACAACTTTATTACCAAAAATTGACCGAGGACCAAGATCTTTAAACAGAAATGTGAGTTTGAAGTATATCAGGGTTTGTTCTACCTTGTTATATCTCATGCTCTTACATAAGGAAAACAAAGGACAATATGTAATAAAAGTTGTTTGCATGTTTTTTTTTTTTTATAACATTACATTTCAGGAGTTGCATCGAATATATCATCACACTTTGTAAGGACCATTTAATAGCTGCTAATGTAGACTTTTTGAGAGAATAACAGCTTTATAGATGGATTCTTCCTCCTTAACACTGCACTGCAGATCAAGAATAAAGAATGAGAACATCATGGGTTAACTTAGCCCCATCCCTAAAAAAAAAGCTTTTATTCACTTGAACATTAGCAAAGAGCAAATACAATAAGCAACATTAATACATTGCTTTAAAGCTTTTAACTAGAGAGAGAAGTAATTTCCCTCTGGTATTATTAAACTATGTCTGATTCTGAAATGATAGTGGGTATTAATGTTGTGCTTGTGGTTTCAATAAATCCTTTTAAACAGTGCCACCTAGAGGATATTAGTTGTAAAACATTACCCCACCTCAGGAAGGAGCATGGCTTGTTAATACATAGAAAATGGTGCAGTTTGCATTGTTTAAATCTGCTATTTAAAGTATATATGTAGATATATTTGATTTCCTTTGCTTATAGCAAAAACTGCAAGGATTTGTGTTCATAACCTGCTGAGCTGAGTGGATTTACTTTGCGTAATAAAGATAACCCACAAAAACATCATTAGGACTTAGAATATTTTTAAGAAGTTGATTTTTTAAATATTTTTATTTAAGCTACATGGCTTGTTTATTAAGAGCTTCATCTTAGTCAACTGGAGGAAAATGTTCTATGTTTAGTTTGCATGTCCAATCAGCAAAGGGCACTTTTTAGTCATGATTCGGCCCTTTCTGGACTTTTTGGTTCTCAGTTCTCAGTTATGCTTTATTTTTATGTTATTCTGTGTTTATCAAGATTTATATCATTTTTGCATTCTTAGCATTTTTGGTATTATTCTTTGGTCTAGTTTTAGTTGTAGCCGTTAGTTTTATTTTGTTTCACTTCATTTAATTTCTTTCCCAGTAACAGTTAGATCCTGTTTTTCCTGGTTATTCCTTGTTGCCCCCCCTAGTGTCCCATTTTCATTCCCCTTAGCTCCTTTTTAGTTGCTCCTATCTACACCTGCTCCCAATTAAATGATTATTCTGTTCATTGTTTGTTTCTGGACTATAGATTTTGTATTTTTACTTAATTAAATTTATCAACTGATCATCTCTGCCTCTTCTACTCTGCTTTTGGGTCCACTACAACATTCACCAACCCTGACACCTTTTTTGTGTTGGCAGTGTAAGCAGAGCTGGGGAGAGGAAATTGGGCTCAGTTAAGAGTAGCACTACTTTAGATAAAAACAATAGTTTTTCTCAAGTAAATGAAAACTTTGCCCTCCAAGATATTAGGCCTGATATAGTTTTTGTAAATTACTCAAGTCCTAAGTAATTGATTTTAACATTAAAAGTATGCAATGAGAGGAATAAATATATTCCAATGTTTCAAAGATTCAAATGGGAAAAAAGATAAAACAGAAAAATATTATTTAAAGCTCTAAAATGTAGGTAGTGAAAAAAACCTTTATAGATCTTTTTTTTTTTTTTTTTTTACATATACCAAAAAAATCTTATGAAATATATATACCAAGATTTTGGCTCCATCTCAGGTCCTCTACCAGAGGCCTACGAGCTTGAGAGTTCTTTGCAGTATCTTAGCTGTTCCTAGAACTGCACATTTGTGGCCTGATACTATTTTTTCTCTTGGTATCTGTTAGAGACTTTTCCAGTGTAGGGGTTACCGGCCTGAATTCTCCAGTGACCTTCCACCTCTTTCCAGTTCTTCCCTGAGCCCTCTGTACTTTTTTTATTTTTCATGTTTTTTCCCCTGACCTTTCCATTATTATGGCCATATCAATAACTATGGCTGTCCTCTGCTGCTTGTAAATGGTTGATAACCAGTTTGTCTTTTTGTATCTGGCAGTTCAACAGGATCTTAGCTCAGTTATTCTCCACAATCTTGGGAGGAGGCTCTCCTTTTGACCTGAGGGTCTCCAGCCACTAGGTTATGACTGTCAGAGGTGTCAAGTAACGAAGTACGGTAGTTAAAGAACACTTTTTAGGTATCTATACTTTACTCAATTACTTATTTTTTCTCCTACTTCTGACTTCTACTCACACAAGTGTTGGGATCTGGAGTTCTGTCCGCCTTCCTCCAGCAGAGGGCGCCCTAGGTCTCCTGGAGCTGAAGCTGACTACCACACCTGCGGCTGATTTGCTCATCAGGGAGACCTGCATATAAGCAGCGGCAGAACTTCTCTCCAGTGCCAGAGTGTTAAGCTAGTTGCGGTTAGCAAGCCAGAGCCAACCTGCATGTCTGACTCTCTGACTCCCCTGAAGATCTGACTTCTGAACCTAACCAGTTTTTGTCCTCTCTGCCTCCTAGGAAGAACCTGACTGGGACCTGGAGCTCTGGAAGAGCTTCTCATCAGAAACCTGCCTGCCTGCTCTCAGGAGCATACCTGTCTGAATCTGCCTGCCGGCTCTCTGGAGGAGAGCTTGGAGAAACTCAAGGTCTGAACACCAACTAGTCTGAAGTCAAGCCCTGCCGCTGCCGAGCCCTCTGCCGACCCTCTGTCTCTGGCCCCTTCTGGTTCCCTCCCTCTGACGCTCAGCCTGAACCACAGATCAGTGAATCCCGTGAGACCAGTCCCGGACCTGTTTCCAGAATCTGTCTAATATCCTGTCAGTATTTCAATAAACCTTTGAACTTTTTCCCCTGTCTCCGGTTGTGTTCTGCATGTGGGCTAGCAACCAAAACCCATCATGATAACAAGTATCTGTATTTTCTATTCCTTACATTTATAAAACAAACGTTATTTGTTACTCTTGGCTTCGGTTTAATAATGTTTATAAATATTTATTTTGTGTCACGTGTGCCATCCCATGCAGATCATTGGCGCCATCCACATCTAGTGAAAACTAGTGTAATTGGATGAGTCACAAAAACTCATTGGTTAGCTAAAGGAAATCATCAGAAGCAAGCAGGTGATCTTCAAACTGCGAACATGAATTGTCTTTGCCATGCTACAATGTCGGATTCAGAAAAAGATGTTGAAATGTGTGAAAAGTCGGACACAGGCGAGAGCGTATCGGCAGATGGAGACGGAGACCAACAAGACCTCCCTCATCCTTGGCTCTATCTCAAAGA